CGAAGGCCCCAGTGGCTGCGTTCGCATGCCTCCCCACCACCATTTCGGCACACCCCTCACACGCTTCGTGGCCCCATAGGGAGCTCCACCGAAGGCCCCAGTGGCTGCGTTCGCATGCCTCCCCACCACCCATTTCGGCACACCCCTCACACGCTTCGTGGCCCCATAGGGAGCTCCACCGAAGGCCCCAGTGGCTGCGTTCGCATGCCTCCCCACCACCCATTTCGGCACACCCCTCACACGTTTCGTGGCCCCATAGGGAGCTCCACCGAAGGCCCCAGTGGCTAGCGTGGCTGCGCGCAGGCCTCCCCACCACCCATTTCGGCACACCCCTCATACGCTTCGTGGCCCCATAGGGAGCCCCACCGAAAGCCCTAGTGGCTCCCCACCACCCATTTCGGCACACCCCTCACACGTTTCGTGGCCCCATAGGGAGCTCCACCGAAGGCCCCAGTGGCTGCGTTCGCATGCCTCCCCACCACCCATTTCGGCACACCCCTCACACGTTTCGTGGCCCCATAGGGAGTTCCACCGAAGGCCCCAGTGGCAGGGTCCGCATGCTTCCCCACCACCGATTTCGGCACACCCTTCACACGCTTCGTGGCCCCATAGGGAGCTCCACCGAAGGCCCCAGTGGCGCGGTGCCTATGAGAAGAGGGGCCTAGTTTGCGTGCCCCCTCCTTCGTCTCATATCCGTGCGGTACTCGCAGCTGCATATGGTTGGGTCCTTCGCCAGGCTAATTTCTCTCGTTCTCGGAGAAGGGGTTGCCCCGGATCTTTTCTTTCAGGAGTGCGAGTGCGATTTCGGCGGCGCCACTCGTACTGGTTCCTGGTCTGTGTCGTATTCCTGGCCATCGGTGTTAGCATTCCATCCTGGAGCGTATTGCAAGCGAGCTGCCCCCTTCAGGGGCTGGGTGCATGCATGTCTCGTGTGGTTTATCCTACGTCTGGTCTTCGCCCTCAGCGGCCACTTGTCAGCGGTGTGTGCGATTTTGGTGGCGCCACTTCCATGCACGAGTTTCCTGGTCAGTGAGTTCTTCCTGGCCTAGCTGGTGCCAGCGGTATTTTGTGATGGTGCTCTTGGCTTTATCCTGGTATCGTTCCCGCGCCATTTTGGCTGCGCCCCAACTTTGGTTGGCTAATTACGCATGCGCTCGCTCCTGGACCTGTTTCCTGGCAGCTGCGGCCCGCGCCAACTCTCGCTTCCGGTCCGCTTCGGTGCTGCTTGGCCACTGGTTTGTCGGCGCGTTAGGCAATTAGGTTCGCGCGTAGCCCACCCGTCCCGTTTGACGCCGCCTGCGCTTTCGCTTCCGGCTGCGACAAAAAAGATCTCCCCCACCAGCTCATCCAGAAACGATGCCCATGAGATCTGACGGGGGGAGAGAGGAAGAGACACGCATAGTCAAACAGCGAACCGTCTTTTGGAGCGGTCCCAGGCGGCCTCCTGGGGAGGCTCCGTGGCCATCTCGAACTGCCTTGGAGCGGTTTTGGGGCCCCCAGGAGCATCTTCGGAGCCAGCTTGCGCCAGTTGGGGCTTTTTTGAGCCATCTTGGAGGTCATCTTGGAGGTCATATTGGGTTCTCTGAGACCGCTCGGGGGCCTCCTGGGTGTCTCTCGGGTGCCTTTTGGAAGCCTCTTGGGGCCTCTTGGGGCGCTCTTGGAGCCCTCTTGGGGGCCTTTTGGGAGCCTTGGGGGGGCCTCTGAAGGCCATCTTGGAGGCGATCGGTCAAAAGGGGGGTGTCCTCGATGCAGTTCCCCCCCATCGAGGGCCACGATCCTCGTGACGGGTGCCAAACAGTGACCCTCCCAGGAGCCGAAAAAGGACCCGCTGACACATCGGGCCCCCTCCCCAAATTACGCGACCGAGGAACCCCACATATTTAATTTAAATCTTATGTGCTTGCTGAAGTTTAGCATATATGCGCATTTCTGCGTCCTCAGCCCTCGTCGCGAATGTTCCCCTCTGTGTCATCCAACGCCATATTGCTTGAACCTCCTCCCTCTTCCGAGCCTTTTATCCTCCATCGAGGACAGATTCGAGCCAGCCAGCGGCCGCGGTGAGGGACCACCCCCTGCGCACCCTCTACGGTGTCGAGAAAGTGCCACGCCTGCTATGCCCTGGACGACCGTCGTGCATGGCGGCCGCGGTGTGGAACCACCCCCTGCGCAGCCTTTATGGTGTCGAGAAAATGCCGCGCCTTCTATGCCCTGGACGACCGTCGTGCATAGCGGCCGCGGTGAGGGACAACCCCCTGCGCACCCCCTATGACGTCGAGAAAGTGCCACGCCTGCTATGCCATGGACGACCGTCGTGCATAGCGGCCGCGCTGAGGGACCACCCTCTGCGCACCCCCTGTGGTGTCGAGAAAGTGCCACTCCCGCCACGATCTGCGAGCGTGTCACGGATAGAGGCCGCGTTGAGGGACCACCCTTTGCGCACCCCTTGTGGTGTCGAGAAAGTGCCATTCTTGCCACGATCTGCGAGCGTGTCACGGATAGAGGCCGCGCTGAGGGACCACCTTTTGCGCACCCCCTGTGGTGTCGAGAAAGTGCCATTCCTGCCACGATATT